ACAGTTTGTACATTTTTATTTGATTATCGATTTTGCAGTGTTTATCGATTTGGATTATCACGGAATACAATAATAAACAGATTTTCAAAATATTGTGCTGAATTATCCCCAAAAGTGACAGATTTGAAAAGAAAAAAATCCTTTCTATTCTCTTGTTTTTCTAAGTTTTCGGTAAAAAGTGCTTGTAGTTTATGACGTACGTATACATACAACACTTAGTTAGTTTTTGATTGTGTCTACGTATTCTAAAAGCATATCAACTTTTTACCATGATAAAACACTTTGAACAAAAAATTATAATCGTTTAATCTCAGAAGAAACTCTCCCTCGAATTTTATTTTTAAAAAATACTAATCTGTTTTTTTCTTTCCACTGTATGAGCTTGTCGAGAGTTTCTTCTGCATTTTTAATCTTACCGACTTTGACAATTAAGTAATAAACAGAAGCAAAGCCACCTAAGTAATATTTTGTTATTATGAAAATGTATGTTATCTGGTTTTTTCCTTCCTGTAAGTATATTTTTTAACGGATTTTGAAAATTTTTGTGTCAAAATGGTCCAAAACAAGTACCGGTTTTGTTCCCACTAGATTGCTATTTGAAAAAACTAGGTTATCCTAAAAAACTAATAGTTCATTACATTAAATGCTATTTGCCATTAGACAAGTAAAATTGTAAATGAAACTTTACAATTTTTCCTATGATCAGGTGACTCGGTAAATAGTATTTATGATGGTCACAGCCTCCTAGACACAATTTGCAAAAATTAAATAAAAATTTTAAAAAACCAAAAAAAAAATTAATTAATAAATAAAAAAATAAATTTGTTGATTATTACAATTTCATTAGTTGGGTCATTAAATATTTCCGTAATCTGCTAGCTTGCGTTAAAGAGATATGAAGTTGTTACTTGCTTATTCTTGTGTTTTTTATGCGCGGTTAGCTTTGGCTTGAATTATAAGGTTAAGCCATATAGTACGGTCATTAATTACAATAATCTCACATAGTTTGTGTTCCTCGGGGTTTTTCACTATTGCCATTTGAATTTATGAACTTACTAATAGACGAACTGGATTTTTAAGAAAATTATTTTTACCAATTCTTGTCCAATTTTTTTTAATATTGATAAATAAGAAGAGTTTTTATTCACCTTTAAAGTTTTCATAGGGTATGCATTTTAAAAAGTAGTGAAATCTCCAAGGAATCCATTTTAATAATTTTTGCAAGTTCTTCTGAAATGTCTATCAGGAAACTTCCATTACATAACAGGGGCAACCGGCACTTTTGTAAACAGTAGGTATTAAGTCAACCACCTTAACGTTTACCTACATTTGGGTATTAGATCTACTTATTACTTTAAAGAGATTCGTTGTTATAGGGCCAATCAGTATAAATATTACTTAAAATTGTTTGGTTCTGGCGACTAAATGAGAAGATACTATTTTTATTGGCATATAATAGAAAAGTATAGTTCTGTGATCTAATACTTATGTGAAATGTTCATACATAAAAGTATCGTCCGTCACAAGGCCGTAATTGAGTATAATTTGACGGCTTTCTATGTCTACTTTCAACAACTCGACTTACATTTTCCACCAAATTATTGAAAAAGTCTTCTTACTTGCTTTCTAGTACCACCTGTTATTCTAGTACAGATGGGACACACCATGTATTTAGGTTTTTAATGAATATTTATTTATCTCTCGTTGGATGTTGTTAATTGTTATAATAATTATTTACACAATCCAAAAATCTGTTAATAATGTATTACTAAAATATTTTTTATTCATTTGGGGGACCTGCTCTATTTTTGGCACCACCACAAACAATCAGATCCTTTTTTTGTCGAAATAACGTCAAAATCGAAAACCGTGGCATTTCGTATCCCTCGTACCGTAGCCCCCTCTTGTCAATAATCCGTTTTTAATATAGTCTGGTTTATGGAATTCAAATAAACTTTAATAAATATTCCGCTTAAAAATATGAGCGTACCATTGTACGGATCAACCTGAATAGATTGCGAGAATATTACGAGCAATAACGGGGCTCTTAAACCGATTTATTTCAATTTTCTTCCACTCGGTAGGGTCCCGCGTATTTCAATCTACAGTCTCAAAAACTCCGAACGCTTTTTAAAGCATTTCACTCGAATCGTAATCGTAATAAACATACAGTGGGAAAAATGAATCGTAAACACCTCAAATATTGTATCGCGCCTAAATAACTGAGGGATACAATAATATTTTCGAAGTGTTTTTTTTTATTTCGTTCATTGAAATTCGCATTAACATATCGAGTGGTCACGCGGCGTAAAGATAACGACGTCGATGCGACGTCGGGGATGGTAGAGCCTCTATCAAAGACGCCGACAACAAGTGCTGTCCTCTTGACGTCGGTATAAAGGAATTCGGGGTTTGTCAAGCGAATGTCAAAAGTCATTTCGTATCACTGTATAAATTGAACAAATTATTAGTCCCTTTTATATGGCGCACAGAACCGGTCTGATGCTTCGTTCGGAAAAAGTTCGCGATATAACGATATTTTGTCAATTTTTAAAAATGTTGCCTTTATTATTAATTCTTGTGTCTCTTCATTTGTCAGTAAAAAAAATTCCAAATATTTTTTTTATTTGGAACTCGCATGAATATAACTGTTTCAAAAAAACTTCCTAACATTATATGTTAAATAATGAAAAAAAAAACGGTTTGTACAAAAAGCCTCACATCGTAGGCTACATGCAATGAAGCTCGTAGTGGTTATTTTCATTATTTTCTTAATTGTTAATTTTTTAAAACTAAGTTTATTCATAAAATAAATATTCATAAAAAAGAGTCAATTTTCATTTTTCAGTCAACATTGTAATTTTAGTGACCCAGTGATATAAATTGCAAAATAACTATTCGCTAATACATACTTCACAATTCACAAAGCGAACTAAGCAATGTTAAACATTGTTATCTTTATACGAACTTTCTTTTTTGTATGTTTTCACTCAAGTTCAGATTTTTTTTTAATATTTTTAATTTTACGTCAACAAATATGCCTCATTTATTGCTTTAATTTTACTTTTTCACGTTGCCAAGAATTGTTTTTTTGAATGAGAAAAAATGTTGCTCTTTTAGTTTTTCTAATACATAATCCTTATAAATTTTCAAAAATTATATCAATTTCCGTCGATTTTTTTAAAATAAGTGAAATCTAGATTAGAAAATTAGACTACTATGTTAGCGTTAGCGTTAATTTCAAATTAATTTTTATTGTTGTCCAATTAAACATTGGAGACATAAATTGGTGAATTGGCAATACTATTCGCTAATATACCACAGGAAACCTCACTGGATTTCACAATCTTAATCCGGTTAAAGAAAAATTAGCAATATTTAACATATCTTTTATTGTTACCTTTATACGAACTTTCTTTCTTTTTTGTATGTTTTCACTCAAGTTCAGGATTTTTTTAAATATTTTTAATTTTACGTCAACAAATACGTCTCATTTATTGCTTTAATTTTACTTTTTCACGTTGCCAAGAATTGTTTTTTTGAAATAAGAAATTAATGCTGTTAATTTAGTTTTTTCGAATACATAAATTTTATAAATTATAAATTTTCGAAAATTATATTAATTTCCGTCGATTTTGTGCCGCCCACCATTGGTGTATGGTTTTTGAAACACGCTGTATAAATCGTTTTTATTCAAGTTCAAGGATTTTTTTATAATAATTTTTCGTCGTCAACAAATACGATGCATTTATTTCTTAAATTTCAGTCTTTCGCTTTGCTAGGAATCGTTGAAAGCGAAAATTAATGAAAATTTTTCTAATACATTTTTCGAAAAAAACTTTTAACAAAGGGCAGAAATCCAAACGACAAATTTGAAAAATTCGAAATTGAAAAAAATGGACTACTACTGTTAGTTTATTGTTAAATTCTTTTTTTTTTGGCCAATCAAAAAACGGGAATGTGCTTCCTTATCGTGCTTCCCGGTTGACAGTCCGATCCTGCACGAATGAAGTGCTTCGTCGGTTTGTTTTTATTTCGGTGTACGTTTGAAATGCAAAGTGAACTTCTTATTTTTAACGAGATTTTATATCGTCGTGATTTACTATAATAATGACCATGGATCAGCGTCAAAGCAAGGGTCGATATATAGTCTTTTTAATTCGCACCTTTGCTTTCGGAATCATCTTTATTTCTTTTGACGCCAAACACTCAGACGATCGACAATATAGTGGTTTATAAATAAAACTTAATAATTTTGTTGCAAATTGTGGCTAGTTTTATTTTAATTCTAATTTATTATAATTTTCCACCCATATAGGATTCCAAAAACTAGTTAGATCCGTATAATTTTCTTATATTACCTGCATTTATTGTATCATTCTGTAATACCCAACAACAACATAGATTGGAAAATCGAAACCATTTTTTTCGCGGATTATCTGAAAAAAAAAAACGACGATATAATGAGTAAAATAATTTTAAATCATCGTGGAAAAAACGGGAGTATGAAATTTATTTTAATCTTTGTTTTCAAATGAAGCCCAGGAAAAAATAAAACTACTTTTCAAAATTTGGTTTTCGTGTTCGGATATCACTGGATTTGCAGGAAATTTTAAACCGGCTTGTATAAAATGGCATATTATTTCCCTAATTTAAAGTAGCTTTTACCATTTTTGACATCTCGATGATGTGCGACCTCGTTTAAGTTTTAATTTTATTTAGCGCTGGCCCTTTGTTAACATATTGGGTGTTCACTTCAGGTACACAACTGCCATTCAGAGCCGTCTAGTATTCAGGGCTTAAACTAATTTTCATACTCGCTTTGCCGTTACACTAACCGATTAGCCCCAAATATATGGAATAATAATTAAAAAAATTAAAAAGAAACATGTGTAATAATAAATTATTTATATATTTGCGGGTTTAGTTTTTACATGGTTACAGTTCATACGGTGCAGCATTTTTGAGCCTCAAATATTTATATATACTGTGTCATGCCTAAAATTTTTTTTTGCTTTTAAAATGTTGAGCATACGTATTTTAGCACAGTAGGAGAAATTAGAATTGACATTATACTGACTTGGATCATTAATACTTTAGAATATGTAAATCCCAATCTACTAGACTGTCGATATATCGGATTTGGGGGAATTCGAGTTTTGTTTTTAATTTACCAAAGTAAACTGCAAGCAGAATGTACTGTGAGTTTGACGCGAAATTCTAAAATATCCAAAAATCCCTGAGGTCTGACTTATTAATTACTGTTAGGGAATATGTCAACAGTCTCCTGTAGATGGAATACCTATGCTATTGTTGGGTTACTGCATAAACATAAATGTAAAGTTCAACTTGTCAAATAAAACAATACCTATACCAAAATTTGTACTTATTGTTTTATAAAGGCACATTCAAGCTGGAACATAACAGTTTCGCTGTCAAATCGAAACGTCAAGTTTTATTCATTCTTTTAAGAAGTAGAATAAAACCTTAAGCTTGTCTAGCTGTGCCTTTACTAAACGACTTTATCAAACACAAACGAAAACTAACAAAAAAAGACAACATTCAGTTTATTAATACAATACTTAATCTGCAGAAGAGTGCAATATAATGCGTCGTTCTGCGTTTTAGCTTTGGTCAACATAGTACTCTCTTAAAATAAGAAAATAATACGTACTTACAATAGATATGTTTTGCGGATTGGATGATTTTGAAAAACAATCGTAAATTAGTAGATATAACAAAATACTCAGTGATAACTGATAAATAACAATTAATGTACAAAAAACATTTTGGCCTGCTTAGCAAACATACAACTAATCTACGTTAAAAATAAATAATAGGACATAAAAAATAAATAAATAACATTCAAATTATGCCAACCCGTTATTCTTACGTCGGAATAAATGGATTGGAACAATTCCTACATTGCGGTTATGTAATACACCACGAAGCTATCAGAAATGTCTATGAAAAACCAGCTGATCACTAATGCTCATTCAGTTTATCTTGACTCCTACTTCCACCGCGAAATGCCTTGCGACTTAAACTTTCCAGGTATGCTGCTGGCGCCCAGCCCTCTACTGTACCACCTAAAAATAATAATCATCACAATCACATTAATAACCAAATAATCAAAAAGAACGAAAACGCATTAGTAGAACCAACTACTTCAATTATTAAAGAAAAGTCAACGAATATGTTACCAATATGTGAATCAACTGTTAGTTGGAAATAAATTACAATTTTAGTTTATTTTACACAAGTTTTACAAAAAAGGAGCTAACGAAACAAAAATACCCATGATACGCGATAGTTTGGACTTCTGCTGTCATTATTTACTTCGACCGCGTTGAATTGGTATGTCCAGGTGAATACTAAATAAACCAGACCTATATATAAATATTCCTGAGTTAATGATACCTGACGGAGATGGGGGCGATCATATAAAAATAATAAAATATAAAAGATAAAAATAACAATAATAAATAGAAATGTAATCTTGATTTAAATATTGTGAAGTCAGATGCAAACAATATGAATGACCAGGCATTTCAATGGGATGATTGTATTGGTGGCTTTTAACTCATTCAATATACAGGGTCGGTTCAGCGGCATAATGCTCACAAGCTACCAATATTAAAGTATCAAAGATGGATTAAGAAATATTTTAGAATTTTTTTTTAATAAATTTTAATATTTCATTGAGTTTCTTTTGAATGAACTTGTTCTGTTTTTTTGAACTACTACTATAAACATCGAAATTGTAAATAGAAGAGCCAAAATATCCCATTTTATCAACATTTCAAACAAAAATTCCCAAATTACATTTGTTACGGAATTTTGATTTAGTGATTTGATGTTTGCTCTTCAGTCGGTTTACTCACCAACAACTTTAACAAACCACCATCCGGCACAGCCAACTTTCATTAATTCAACAATGTCTCCTTCTCTCATATTCACTTCGCTGTTGCCAATTGCACAGTAATCAGCGAGCACCACGTACCGACCTCTCTAAAATTTTAAAATTTATTTATCGTTATTTGGAGTGTTACGAAAAATTAAACAGTCTTAAATATGAAATATGAGAAACGCGTTTAAATTAATATAACACAGAACGTTATCAAATAGAAAATAATCCTTCAATTCAATATAATAGCTGAAAATTTTTATTTTTTTTTCTTTTGGTTTTCCAAATTCTATTATTATTTTTTAAAGTTAGTTTAATCAAGTTCGTTTTGAAAAGGAAAAAACAAAATTTCTGTGTTTCTATTTTTAAAATTTTAATTTTTTAATTGTACTCCTTTAACTTAATATATTATATTTTTATATAATAATAACTTGGTAATCGGGTATGAACAAATTGTCGGCTTTGTCGCAAAATCTTATTTTTTCGGGTGCTATGATTTTAAAGACGTTCATTTAATTATTTGTTATAATGCCGTTAAACGTTCTGTGTTAATAAATCAATGTTGAACATGAACGCGCTGAATTTACACAACTAAAATTAATAATATTAAACTTACTAGAACTAAAGAAACAATGGAACAGTCGACTTAATTAGTAATGCTTAACATAAAACGTGGTGGTTGTATTTACACTACTGCCAATGAAATATGCTACCACCCGATCAACAACAGTGCTCGAACCCTTCACCACATGCCACTGCAAACAAATGTTTATCAACAACATTTTGAGTTAGCCCATAAGCCATTTGTTCTTATATGCCCAGAAACGGCATATTAAGGCATTCAGGGTTCTAAGAAGCATCCAAAAGCCGTAGGGTGGGTCTGAATTTGACGTAATTTGTTTTTCGCGAAACAAAAAATAAGGCAAACCAAACTATCTAAACTTTCATAGCTCGCACGGGTTTCTGTTTCGATCGCAAAGCTTGTACATTCTGCAAGTCCGATATAAAACAGTTCAGTTAAAAGAAACGAAAAATTCGCTTATTTCTGTAAGTAGAATGAAACCTCGCAAAAGCGAAAAGATCTTTGTTAGTGCAGGTTCTTAGCTGTACAATATTTACCATTTTAGTATACTAGGCGATTAGATCAAAGCGATAAAAGGCAAAAACTAATACATTAGTACTAATTATTTATTTGTTTCCGAGGATAAAGTTACCGTCTTATTAAACAACATTCATAGTTTTTGTCTCTAACATTTCACCAATTTTCGGAAGCATTACTTTCATAATATCGATATTTCTTATCACATTATATCATATGCTGATTTTAACGTCTTTCTTGATCAATGTATCAGATTTTTTTCTCCAAACTCAACGTATAATAATTAAAAAACCAACGAGCTATCAAAGTAAAAACATGGCATGGTGAGATGCGGACAAGAAGCCTCTTAACAAAGATAGGTATGCCCCAGCGCTTACCGATACTTGGTTAGAGTGTTCATCATCATCGCTGTTACTACCATCGGATGACCAATTTCCTCCTTCCATACAATCGATAGCTTCTTCAATGTGTTGGATATTGGGAGGTTCAGAATCGCAACTTAAAGCTCTTTGTTGGCCTTCTACCGCAGGGGTTATCGGCATGTGTTTTTGTGTTTCCCATGATGTCGTCTGACGCAATGGTCTAAAAGCAGCTGCTGGTACCCTCATAACAGAACCAAAGCACGACTTACTTGTGAGTGATCGCTGCGTATTGTTTGATTTTCTCTCCTTTGATTTCCTCCAGTTGGTTGAACAAGACCCTTTTAATTTCATTCACCCACGCTTGTTTCTGCTCCAAATTTGTTGCCTGGATCGTATGCACTTCTTGCCTTCCTTGCAACCATACCTCAAACTTCCTGGGATCGCCTTTAACGGATTCGGTGAGGCCTATTTGAGACATTTTCAAGTAATGTTTAAATTGGTACGTGGCTTTGTTTCTCTCCGCTTTGGAAACGGGCTTGCAAAATAACAACGCCTTTTGGTACAAGAACAAGTGTCTTCTTAAAGCTTTAAGTCTCAGACGCAAGTCTTTTTTATTTTCCACCCATACGTTAAAGGAACCTTGCAACAAGAGCTCCCCCTGCTGGGAAAGGTCTCCTGGAAATCCGGTAATCGAGATTTGGTGCATGCTGTCGTTCACGCATTTCAAAACGACTAGCATACAGTCCAAGGCTTGTTGCAATTCTTTGCAACATTTGCCTTCTTCAGAATACCTCAAAAGGTCGCGCAGAAGAAGCTGATATTTGGTAATACGTTGAACAGGTTTAAGCAAGTAAGCGGCCAAGGGTAGTTTGTGGCCGAGCTTGCGCTGACAGACTTGAAAAAACTGATTCAGATCAGTTGAACTCTCACGTAGTTGCTCGGATTTGGCAATATTTTGGCAGTAGAAGCTGTATAATCGAAAAAAATTATCCCTCTGCAACACCAACAGAACAACAAAATTCGTAACATACTTCGATCATACTGGGTATACCTTTTGAACAAAGCACAAAGCTACTAAATCTGTAGAAGTTATACAGTTCTCCAAGTCCCTGAGAAATACTTCCGAATGGAATCTATAGATGTCGTCTAAATTGCCAAATATTATGTCAAATTTTTCACCCACATTGGAGGAGAGCAAGTGTTGATGTTCTTCTAGCTGCGCTTCTAACTTGTAACCCTAAGGAAAAAACTCCAGATATTGTACATTTAAACAATGCGTTAATTGGGAAATGATACCTTGATCACCGAAAGCACTTCTGTAACGTAAACTTTTTCAGTCTCTAGTAATTCGGCTAATACATGTCTGGTCTTGATTCGATTTAATTCGTCCACTTCCTGGGGTATTCCTGAACCGTTTTGGTGGTTTGAGTCTTGCTCACCGTCGTTAGCAGAGTCCATCTAAAATAATTATCCTATTATAATCCTAGAGATGGGAGTTGAGGAATTTATTCGCGATGTTTAGATCCTGGTTCATCAAAGTGATCATATTCAATGCATTAACTATTTAATCCACCTTATAAATAACAATTAACAAAAGTTAACATATTCTGAAAGATTTTTTTTTATAAAATAACGCATAACTTTGAAGAGGAATGAAAAAATGCTAAGAAATAGCTATTCGCGTTATAGTTTCAGTAAAATCTGGATTTTCATGTCTATATTTTTAAGAATGATCTATATATTTTATATAGGTTTACCTATCTGAATGTTTTATTTATTGTAAAACGAGTAGATAGATAGACTGTGTCTTTTCTAAAATAAAGTTGGTTGATTGTCTCTTCGTTACCGTTATTATTTTTTATTATTTTATTTTTTTTCAAAACTAAAAATTTGAGCGATAGTAATTAAAATTTCTTTGCTATTACCACAGAAAAATAAAAAAATAAAAAAAACTATTAGACGTTTACTATTACGATTTATTTTTTATTACTGTATTTACTATAAGATATAAAAAGGAAATGCCGCCCATTGTAATTTGTAATTAAACCAGGATTAATATATACTAATAAAAGAAGGCAATTTTAGGATCGTCGAATTTGAACACAAATTGAATGAATATTTTTGATAACCATTATTACAATATTACCTTCACAAATTTAAAAATAGGGTTTTCAGAGTGCAAATTTTGTTTGATTTCGTGGCAGGTATTGTTGAACTTTATTATAATTTATTGTTAATTATTTAATTATTTTCTATCATTTTAGTATTTATTAAACAATTTTTATCTACTTTAAAATTCGGTTATTTTTCATAAACTTTACTCACGACTCACCGTAACCCACGAGTAGAAAAATCCGTCACAAAACCCGCAATTATACTCGTCACAAAACATTTTTGGCAAATAAAATTCATAATTTCGAAAATCACACTTGCAAATCATTATTTTTTCCGTATACTCGTAATCGAACATATGGTAACGTCGAATTTTCATTCGGTTTCGGTATAAAATTTTAATTAAAAAAAAAACTTCGTCCGAAACTGGTTTAAAGTATTGGGAGCACGAAGAAATGTTGACCCGTAGTCTGCTCAAAGCGAAATGGTCAAATTTACGAAAATTAAGTCCGTATCAAGTTAAAATTTAAATTATTCTTCTAAATACCGTTTTTACAGTTGTTTGGCTGGATGTTTGTGTGTATTTATACTTTGGACAATTTAAATTATGTACACTACACATGCAGTAATATAAATATTCCAGACGTCTATGCTTTTTTGGCCGTAAATGGTTGGCTATAACAATAATTGCAACGTTTTATATGGACTTTAATTAATTCGCTATGCATTTTATTGGCGACAAAACGCTATTGGACCTATTGGATTGACTTGGCATGCATTTTTGCATCAGACATTAAGGGTGCTTGACGAACTCTCCTGTAATACATCAATTTTGTAATGAAAAGGGACAACAAATATAAATATCCAAAAGGTTTATATTGATTTTTCTTAAATATTGTTTTTTTTTTCGTATCAGTGAAATGGTTGATATTTTTCCATTTGTCAAAACTGAAAATTGAACTAGTTAGTTTATTGTTAGTTATAAATTTTGAAAACATGCAAAAAGAAAATATTATATTGATAATGTAAATAAGTGAAATACCTTCAAAAATCACGCGAAAATTGGATATCGTGCTGCCCATGCTGGTGCGACAGAATCAATTTGGTGCAACGAAAAACGATTTTTCAATATACAGTATGTCTACGGATCGAGTAAGTAAATACGAGGACAAGCACAATAAAAAATGAGAGATATAGATAAAAGTCTCTTTATAAAAGATATTAATGCTTGCTTTAAAAATCCGGTCCACAATGCTGGGAATTTCCTTTATGGTGCAGGTGGTCCAGATAAAACAAAATTTTGAAAATAATTCTGAAGAGTAAAATGGAAAAAACCAGATTTTCAAGCAAATTCTAAATTGAAAAGTGTGGATTTAAATTTAAAATATTCTTATCTTAATTTTTTATAGCTACGTTTGTGAACAGCTTGAAGAATCTGATTGAAATATATACAACAACATTTTGAAACGTACAATTGGACTGTTGGAGAATCAGGAAAGTAGCGTATTTTTAATTTTGAAACAATATTTTTATTCTATTCTATATTCTAGTTGCAAAAAAAGCTACTTTACTCTTCAGCAAATTAAATAATTTTTTATGTATTCTGTATAATAAAACAAACAATTTTATTTTCGACAGCTGCGATTTTTCTCCATATCTTTCATCGCTTAGTCAACTTGTCTTGTCCATTCCACCGATGCAACGAAAATTCATCTGTTTCTGTTAGATAGATATATTTTATTTTAATAATTAATTCAAGTGTAAGAATGTTGCAATAATAGAATTAGTAAATAATATTTACTGTATTATTATTATTTTTAGAAAGTTAATTTTGTAGATCATATTTTGAAAACAATTTTATAATTACTGAATTACAGAGGCGGTATCTGAAATATTTCTTTTACGTGATAGCCGGAACACATTCGTAAAGAATTCAGAAACTTCCATAATTATGCAAATATCTTCGCGTTACAAAATATTTTCTTTTTATAATTATAATCGGACGTAATTCTAATTGACGATTAGGATTTGCATCTAATTGGCACACTTCAACTGTTAGATATTTTCAAGTTTTTTTTATAAAATTTGAAAGGTTGCAAAATGGCTTGACGATTAACTCAATCAATTAAAATTAACGGTTTGGAAGGATCGTATTGATGACTTATAGCCATAATCTGACTAGAAAAAAAATTCCCTATTGAATTAAATCAAAGACAAAAATCAATTACGACTCCGTAAATCCTGTCACTAATTTTACAGGAACTCTATAACTCGTACACCTCAGGAAATTGCTTTTTGATTTAAATTTGATATTCCCAAAGCAATAAACTTCTTCATAAACGAGTCCATTTATGACCGTACATAAAAGTTTATACCGTTTAAAAAGCGTGTTTACTCGAAACCTCACGTATTGTTGCTATTTTCAGTCAATTAATCCGGTAGCATTTTAGAACTCACACTCGAAGAAAGCAATATGGCTCACGTTTTCTTGCAAATAGCTGTTACCGCGTTTAAATAGGTCATAGACAAGGTGGTCCGGTCCAGTTTGCAGGCACGATGTTATTTTTGCGGTGAAAAATAATTTTATGAAAAAATTCTATACCTAAAAAGCGTCATCGTAGATTTACTACTTAAATTATTCCGATTCGAAATTCTAAAAGCATTTTTAACCCCAATATATAAAAAAGTGGTAATAAAAACGCATGTATGAACTGACTTAAAATTTCAAAGGATTTAATAATATTATTTTATCACGTAGTTTTTGATACTGCCTTATATAAGTATAGAGAAAAAATGTTGAAAACGGTAATCTTAACTACTAAAATTATTTCAACTATATACAACAGATGTGTAAAAAACACTAAAACTATTTTCAACATCTAAACCGGGTTTTTCTATTTCTCATAAATCGGCAAATAATTCTAAAACCAATTGGTATCGGTAGTTAAGCGCCAACACGGTTCTACGAAATAAATTAAAAAACTCAAAACAAATTTGAGGAAATAAATCTAACACTCTTAGGAATTTTTAAAAATGTATTTTTATATGTATATGTTAAAGGTTAAAAGTACTTATTGGTGAGTAAATATTGAGAAAAAATTACTTCCAAATTCTAAACCACTAAACATAAAATAGTGGCAATAAAAACGCATGCATAAACTGACTTACAAATTTCAAAAGAATTAGTAATATAATTTTCTTACATAGAGGTTTTGTTGATGTTTTATAACAGTATAGAAAAAAAATGTTGAAAACGGTAATCTTAACTACTAAAATTATTTCAATTATAAAAACTCAAGTTTTCGGTACTGATCTTTGTTTGCTTTATTTCCATTATTTTTATTGATCACTAAAACACTAAAACCAAAGCCAAGAAACTTCCACAGGCTACTGTAATGCTTTTTACAAAACTTCCGGATTCCTCCTGCGTCGGTTTTTGCTTCGTCGAAATTGCTGACGTTTCGCCAATCATTCAGTTGCATACAAGCTCTGAAGAAGCCAACAGGATGATTGGCGAAACGTCAGAAATTTCGACTAAGCAAAAACCGACGCAGGAGGAATCCAGAAGTAAAAAGCAACACTAAAACCATTTTCCATAAATAAAAAAACTCAACAAAAATTTTGGAAAATAAACAAATACTTTTAGGAATTAATTTTGGAGCTAAGGAAATGGCATGAACATTTAAAAAAAATGTATTTTTATATGTATTTCAAACGTTAAAGGTTATAAGTAATTAAATTGATGAGAAAATATTTATAAAAAATCACTTCCAAAATCTAAACCACTTTACATCAAAAAGTGGTGATAAAAACGCATGTATAAACTAACTTACAAATTTCAAAAGAATTAGTAATATAATTTTCTTACATAGAGGTTTTGTGGATGCTTTATAACAGTATAAAAAAAATGTTGAAAACGGTAATCTTAATTAATAAAATTATGGCAATTATAAAAACTCAATTCAATTTTTCTGTATTGATCTTTGGTTGCTTTATTTCTGTTACTGTTACTGATCACTGATTGCAGATGCATAAAAAACACTAAAGCAATTTTCAACATCTAAACCGCTTTATTCTTACTTTTCAAAAATCCGCAAATAATTCTAAAAACAATTAGAAACAGTAGTTAACCGCTGACAGGCTTCTACGAAATAAATAAAAAAAACTCAACAAAAATTTTGGGAAATAAATGAAATACTTTTAGGAATTACCTTGGAAGCTAAGGAAATGGCATGAACATTTTTTAAAAAAGAAAGTATTGCCAAAAAATTACATCCAAATTATAAACCACTAAACATAAAAAAGTGGTAATAAAAGCGCATGTACAAACTGACTTCCATATTTCAAAATATAATATAATTTTCTCACGTAGAGATTTTTTGGTTCTTTATAAAAGTATAGAGAAAAAATGTTGAAACGGTAATCTTAACTACGAAAATTATTTCAATTATAACTCATTTCGAAAATCGGCTTCGAAATTCTAAACGAATTCAGTTTGTCTGCACTGATGTTTGTTTGCTTTATTTTTATTATTATTATTGATCACTGATCAGTGATCAGTGATCAATAATAATAATATGTACAAAAATGTACAAAAACACTAAAACTATTTTCAACATCTGAACCGCGGTTTTCTATTTTTCAAAAGTCAGCAAATAATTCTAAAAGAAATTAGTATTCAGTAGTTAAGCGCCTACACGGTTCTACGAGATAAATAAAAAAAGTGAGTAAAAATGTTGGAAAATAAATAAAATGTTTTTATGTTGTTGGGAGCTAAAGAAATAAATAACATGAAAAATTAAAAGCATATATTTTTATACGTATTTTAAACGTTAAAGGTTACAACTGCTTAAATTATTATTAAATTCTGGTTAGAAAGTATTTATAAAAATGCACTTCCAAATTCTAATTGCATTTTTACCTCTATATATGAAAAAGTAATAATAAAAACGCTATACTGGATTTTAATTTTCAAAAGAATTAGTAAAACAATTTTCTCACAAAGAGGTTTTGCTGGTGCTTTGGGAGAATATAGACAAAAATATTCCAAACGGAAAGCTTAAGTACTTGCATCCTAAAAACACGTTTTAAACGAATTTAATTTTTCTGCACTGCACTTTTTTTATTATTGTCATTGATCATTAGTTGCAACAGATGTATAAAAAACACTAAAACTTTTTTCAACAACTAAAATGCATTTTTTTATTTGTCAAAATTCCGCAAATAATTCAAAAATAAATTAGTATCAGTAGTAACGCGCCTACAAGGCTCTATAAATAAAATTCAAAAAATCTGTTGGAAAATAAATAAAATATTTTTAGGAATTTTCTTGGGAGGTAAGAAGGTTGCACGAAAAATCTAAAAAATATATTTTTATATGTTATAAAAAACGGTAAATGTTAAAATTATTTAAATTACGTTTATAAATTTGGTGAGAAAGTATAAATAAAAATTCACTTTCAAATGTTCAAGGCATTCTTATCACTAAACGTAAACAGTGGTAATAAAAACGCATGTGTACATTGACTCCCAAATTTGATGCTTGATGATTTGATGCGTTGATGCTTATATACATAAAAAATGTTGCAAATGGAGGCTTAACTACTAAAATTATTTCAATTATAAAAACGCATTTAAAAAATACCGTTCCTAATTCTAAGCGATTAAATTTTTTATGCACTGATCTTTGTTTGTTTTACTTTTATTATTCTTATTGCTTACGAGTTACAACAGGTCCATAAAAAACACTAAAACCATTTTTTCAATATCGAAACCGAGTTTCTTAATTTTTCAAAAATCTGGTAATATTCCTGCACGATTTTACAAAATAACTACAAAAACTTGAGCAAAAATGTTGGAAAATAAATAAAATATTTTTAGGCACCCTCTTAGGAGCTAAGGAAATAAATGTCATGAAATTTTTAAAAAATATGTATTTCAAACGTTAAAGGTTAAAATATTTTTATTATATGAAATTTGGTGAGAAAATATTTATAAAAATTCACTTCCAAATTCTAAAGGCATTTTTTAACTTTAAACATAAAAGAGTGTAAATTAAAACGCACAAATTGGCTTCTAAATTTCACAAGGAATATTGAATTAGTCATATAATTTTCTTACGAAGAAGTTTCGTTGATGCTTTATAAGAGTGTTGATTTGCATTTGCAACATTGTTTATGTATATCAAAAATGTTGCAAATGAAAGCTTAACTACTAATTATTTCAATTATAAAAATGGATTTAAAAAATAGGGTTCCTAATTCTAAGCGATTTAATTTTTTTATTCACTGATCTTTGTTTGTTTTACTTTTATTATTGTTATTGCTTACGAGTCACAACAGGTCCATAAAAAACACAAAAACCATTTTTTCAATATCGAAACCGAGTTTTTTACTCTCTTAATTTTTCAAAAATCTGTTAATATTCCTGCACGGTTTTACAAAATAACTAAAAAAAACTTGAGGAAAAAGGTTGAAAAATAAACAAAATATTTTTAGGCATTCTCTTGGGAGCTAAGGAAATAAATGTCATGAAAATTTTAAAAAATATGTATTGTTATATGTATTTCAAACGTTAAAGGTTAACATATTTCTATTATATTAAATTTGGTGAGAAAATATTTATAAAAATTCACTTCCCAATTCTAAAGGCATTTTTTAACTCTAAACATAAAACAGTGAAAATAAAAACGCACAAATTGGCTTCTAAATTTTCCAAGGAATAGTGAATTGGTAATATAATTTTCTTACGAAGAAGTTTTAGTGATGCTTTATAAGAGTGTTGATTTGCATGTGCAACATTTTTTATGTATATAAAAAATGTTGCAAATTGAAGCTTAACTACTAAAATTAATTCAATTATAAAAACGGATTTAAAAAATAGGGTTCCTAATTCTAAGCGATTTAATTTTTTATACACTGATCTTTGTTTGTTTTACTTTTATTATTGTTATTGCTTACGAGTCACAACAGGTCCATAAAAAACACAAAAACTATTTTTTCAATATCGAAAACGACTTTTTCACTTTCTTAATTTTTCAAAAATCTGTTAATATTGCTGCACAGTTTTACAAAATAAATTTAAAAAAATTGAACAAAAATTTTGGAAAATAAATAAAATATTTTTAGACATTCTCTTGGGAGCTAAGGAAATAAATGTCATGAAAATTTTAAAAAATATATATTTATATATGTATTTCAAACGTTAAAGGTTAAAATACTTCTATTATATTAAATTTGGTGAAAAAGTATTTATAGCAATTCACTTCCAAATTCTATAAGCATTTTTTAACTCTAAACATAAAAAAGTGAAAATAAAAACGCACAAATTGGCTTCAAAATTTCACAAGGAATAGTGAATTAGTAATATAATTTTCTCACAAAGAAGTTTTGTTGATGCTTTATAAGAGTGTTGATAAAAAAAGTGCAAACTGAAAGCTTAACTACCAACATTATTTCAGAAAAACTCATTGAGGTGAATTAAATTTTTCTGCACTGATCTTTATTTTATTCTTATTATTGTTATTGATCACCAGTTATAACAATAAAATTATTTTCAATATCAAAACCGCGTTTTTAGATTTTGTTTTTCAAAAATCCGCAAATGATTTTGAAAGAAATTAATATCAGTAGTTAGGCTCTGACAAACAAAAAAAGACGTGAACAAATTTGTTGGGAAATAAATTAATTAATTTTAGGAATTGTTTTGTGAGCTAAGGAAAAAGTGAGAAAAATTAAAATTATATATATTTTTTATATATTTCAAACGTTGAAGGTTTCACAAATAAAAAATTTGAAACCGAGCTGAAATCGTTGTCCTTATCGCGGCTTGCGCAAGGACTCTGTTCATACTATCAAAGTTTTAATTAGTCATTTTTGATAAAGTGTAGTTAAAATAAAAGTAAACATAACGTTGTACATGCCAATAATTTTGGCGCAAGAATAAATCCATAAACATAAAAAAAAAGTTATTTTTGTCGCTTACCTTCGAAACTGTGTGTGCTTTCTTGAGAGCTGCTTTCGTAGGCTGAGGTGCTCCCATCAAGGGTTGTCTGGGAACTGCCGGTTCAGGAATCACGGTCTGCACCGGTCTCTTATTCCTTACTGCAATTTTGTTTAGACTAGATACGCGTTTATCACACATTAAAGACACATCTTCAATTCTCTGCAGTACCTTTAATAACGAATTCAACTACTATTATCAACTTTTTAAAAACCGTTAATTGTTTATTACCTGCGACACTAGCGCTTTAGTTTCCGGTGTAATACTGTCTTGGAATATATCTTTGAAGTCTTTTTGGCCGTTAGCTGTAAATTCATTTGAAGAACTTGTAAATTCCCGAATTTCGATAAGGTATTTTTCGGCTAAATCGGGTGAATTCGAACATATTTCAATTTTTTGCGACGCTAATAAATCTATACCACTCGCGCACCATTTGTTTGCCTGAAACGTACGTTGATGTTATTGAGAAGTCAGTCACGAACGGTTACTAATGTTTTTGGTTTCCTCAAATAAATAATTAAAATTATTTCTGTTATTATCATTTTTGAGCGACAAAGACGAAATAAGGTCGATAACCCAAAATTCACCATCTAAATCCTTAAATGTATGCAACTTTCGAAACGGGACGAACTAATTTTGCCGCTGAAAAAAATTAAAACGAAAGAAATGCAGTTTTTATAATATATTTTTATGGTAATATAGATTTTTGAAAAATTTTTACATCGTAGCGTGCTGTCTCATGCCCGTGTACAGAGTATCCCGAGTGTCTCATTTAATGCTGCCATTTTTTATAACGAGATGTTTCAAATTTGGGAATATAGGCATATAGGTAACTTAATATAGTTTAAGTTTAAAATCATCCAAAATGAACATTATCACTGTTTCTTCTTTATTTGATTTTTATTTTATTAATGAAATACAATCTCTCTACTTAAAATTCTGAAAGCACTTTACCTCTGCATGAATTTTAACGCTATATTAAATAGCCCAAAAAATATTTCAAATGTTCCTTGATATTTCGTAGGACATAAAATAATTTGTATTTTTCATACAGCGTCCACAAGAAAATCAAAAGTGCCTAATTGTTTAAGAGGCTTATAAAGAGTAAATAAAAACATAGTAGTGGAAAATCTGTGATAATGTTTGATTAAACTTGTCAAATATGTGTAAGGGTTATAAAAAAACAATGACAAATTTCAGTTTATTAGGATGTTTTAGAAAACGCAAACTTTCTCTAATTTAACTGACGATATATCTCTTACTGTATTGAATTTACAAATATATAAGACATTTTGCGCAATAACAAAAATTGCAGAGAGTTTTTTTTTTCAACGAATCTTAATATTTTCACTTTTTATAAAACTTCTGGATTCCTCCTGCGCCGGCTTTTGTTGAGCCAAACTAACGTTAACATCGTAACACACGTTTTACCATTGAATTAGAAATTAATATTTACTTCGAATTCTTAGATATTCTTATCAAATAGAAAATCAGACTTTACATTGGGTCATTGTGTTTACAGAAAACCTACGGACACAGACCGATACCTTAATGCATTGTCACATCACCACCCGGGCCAAAAATCAACTCTCTTGTTTCCAGAGCCGTAAAACCCAGAATTAAAACAGCTTACCTCTGCGTTTCTCTCTAATAATTTCCACATTAAAGATGTTAAGCGTTCCATCACAAAATACACTTCACCACAACCCTCCGATAGGAATGTTGTCTTTCCTCGCATTCAAAACATCACTGACCACATATGAAAATTTCCAAAGAAATACAAAGTCAAAAACAGATTTACCACTTGCGCAAAAAAAAATCTTCGATCCGTCAAAGACAAAATTCCATTTCAGGTTCCAGGAGTTTACAGCATTCCATGCATATGCGGCAAAGACTACATTGGAGAGACCGGACGAAAAATATTAACTAAGCTCAAAGGGGATCAAAGAGTGTTAAGACTCGTGAACAGTTGCCGAACACAATCACGAAACCGGACATAAAATTTTATTCGACTAAAATTCTTGCAGGTAATCAATTCTTCTACCAAAGAAAATTCCGAGAGTCCACAGACATCTATAAGCAACCTAACAATCTTAACAGCGACTCAGGTCTTTACCTGTCACCAATATGGGAATCAGTCATCTGAGATGGTGTTTATGACCCACATTCAGCTTCGCCTCCCTCAAACAGTATAAAAGCGGGTACAGAGTAAAATGCGAGCCAGTTTCTGTTAAGCTTTCAAGAAATCAACAGGATGATTGGCGAAACGTTAGCTAGTTCGACTCAACGAAAACCGACGAAGGAGGAATCCAGAAGTTTTATAAAAAGTATTACAGTAAACTGTGGAAGTTTCTTTGAAAAATTAAAATGTAACAGTTATAAGCTTTAAAGTCAGCCTTCGTGTGGCAGACTTTTCTTTAGTAGCGCCCTAACTCGAAATTTTGAATTTTTTGATTCATCATATTGCGGCATTTCTAAAAACTACCAATTTGGAACTTAAAAAGTTGTCATTTACTATAAGGGATTTGGAATTTTAGGCAAGCTGAACATAGTTAATCAATTGGTGTTACTCCATCTTTTGGAGTTTTTTCTCAAACCAGAATAAGAAGAACTTCTTTAGCTATTAATGTAGGGAGAGAGTTCCTCGCAAAACAATAAATCAAAGCAGTGCATACTTACTTTTTCCACCCTTTCCATAAGTTCGCGGCATTTTTGTAGCATCTCCTTCCGTTTCGATAACCTCGTCAAAAGCATCTCTCTCATCCTAATCAGTTCACTGCATTTTGGTTCGACGCATTCCAACGGGCACGAGTTTTTAATTATCATTAACAATTGTCCGGACGAAATTACTTCTTCGGCCCTTTGAACGTCCGATTCGCAGATTTTTTCGAACGCGTTGGTTTCTTTAATCAACGTATCCACGCGAGCAACGGTTTCGCCGATTTCCGTCATTTCAGAAACCGTTTTTAACGCAACGTCAAAATTCGATTGCAACTCCCTGAAATCTTGTTCGAATCTTCGCAAGTTTAAACATTGTCGCAATTTTTGCGAATGCTGTTGCCAAAAATCATCGAAGGTGGTTTCCGTTTCTTCTAGTTGCACCAAAAGCCTTTCCACGGCAAAAACGTTTCCCACCATATCAGGAACGCCGCTATCGTTATTGGAGTTTTTCTTCTTAATACTACTCAGAAGGTCTTCTCCGGCTTTGGCGGTGGAGAGTATTTCTTTTTTCAAATCCGAGTAAAATTCCGTTTGTTTATTGAGTAATTCCTGAGTAGAATCGACATTGTTAGGTAATTCAGTCTCGTCCACAGATTTCGTGAATTCGTCAAGCGCATTAGACACTTGCTGAGTTATCGCCGAGAAATTTTCTAATTCTATTCGTTGATATATCCATTCATCGTGATTATAAGGCAAAGTACCTTTAAGATCAGTAGTTAACTGACTGGGATGTATGTACTCGTGCAACTCTTCGACGGTACTTAACACGATCATGCGAAATTTGAATTCATCCTTGAAAAGCTTGTTGCTCACTTCGGACAAAGCTTTTTGTAGAAAACTAGCCGGTCTCAGAACGTATACTACATGAATAAGGCCAGGGAAATATACTGAAATTTTCAGCAGTACGGCTTTGACAGAATTCCATCGATCTTTTCTTCGATCTATTATTAAGTGGAAGCCCATGTCTGCCTCTTGTAAACTGAAATTATTAAAATACAGCGCGTTATGATCACCGACAAAATACAAGCATTTTTAATCAAGAATTTTGTTAGTTAAGCCTAGTCAACGCGATGTATCTTTTCATGAAAACATGGCATCTTTTCTATTATAACAAAAAATTTAGAATTTGTTTGCTATCAATGAGACGATAAAACTGTGAATTTAGAACCAAAAATTCACGAAAAAACTAACCAGTTAAAAACACATTCAATTTTAATGTAACTTTTTACGCCAAAAGTGTATACACTTAGTAAAAAATCGACGGATTTCACCATATTGCCACTTTAACAAAATTTATTAAAATCGTAAACATGGATCAGATTTTCGAGTGTCATATCTAAAAAAAAATATTTCTTTTCATTTTTCATTTCTTTTCAGTTTTACAACCGCGGATATTTTAATGATCAAAGACCAACGTTAAAGTAAAACTTTCAAAACCTTTAATAAGAAATCTATTTTAAAGTGAAGTATGATTATTTCAATTATTCTCTTGAACTTTTGTTTTAACGTTGATCTTTGATTTTTTACTAAGGCCGTTTTATATTTTTCTTGATGCTTATGACTTTTTCCGTCAGCCTTTTCAGTATTATCGTTGATTTTTGGAACACCTTGTACATATGTTTAAGAAAAAAAAATATCTTAGAAGAAAATAATATAAATTTCCGTTTATTTTGATTTAAGGGAGTATAATTTCTCATTTCAAGAATAGATTTGTCTTGAAACAAAATAATGCAGATATTGGTTTGTTTTATCTCGAAAAACACTTCCATTTGCTCTAAAATAGTATATGGACTTGAAAGAAAACTTTAGAAATTTTAAGAAAATTATTTTGTCCTGGAAGAAGAATCAAAAGGTTTTGTTTTGAATGAGCAAATATTTTCCTTCTAGAGGAAAAGGTGTCTTAGATTGATACACTTTCATATTATAATAAAACAATTTCTGTATTGCAATAAAACAGAGAGTTAAGAGATTTTTTGTGATAAATCAAGAAAATATTTTCTTGGTGAATAGGAAAACACAAATTGTTTTACTACAAAGCAATTTGCTTTGATCTAAGAAAAAAAATTTTACAGTGTAAGTAGATTTGATCGTGTCTACCGGGCTTTACTGATGTTACTGGCTATAATAAAAATTGTTTTCTTACGTAGGCACTGAAGTCAAATATAACATTAAACGCTGGTATTCACTATCGGTAAGCATTTGAAAATTATTGTTGTCAGGAAATGTAATTATTGGACAGCCGTCTTTCGTTTTACCACCTGAGATAATTCCATAATGTTGTTGAAGTAAATCGACCACATCATTCACACCTAACGGTTCCAAATTTACCGTATTTTGCATTTCAAATTCCTCGCAGGATGGTAGTGGTTCTTCTGCAACAAAGTTTTCACATCGGTACATTGGAGAACTCTTACGATTAGCTATAACATTAAATTCAATTAATTTTAATTATTGTAACTTAAAGTTTGTAATAAAAAATACGTCAAACTTTTAATTTATACGAAGTATGATGAAATAAAACAAGATAACTGACAAAAATCTTTTATTTTACAAACGTTCCTTTTTTAACTAAGAATACAAGTGTCTTTTGCAATATCACTTTCTAAACTTAGAAAATAGTAATTTTTACCATCAATATCATACAAAAACACTACCGCAAAACCCTCGGAAGGGATAAGCAAAATACAAACATCAGCGGAGCTAAAAATACACTACGGGAAAACAGTATTTACAATGAAATTATGAATATATATACATATGAAACGTAGATTCATATGGTTTGATCACTCGATATAAGCACGCATAGGGAAAAAGTGCTCAGAACAAAATTTTACTTTTCCCGAAATGCAAGTTATAACCTCTCACCAAATCATCCGTAAATTATCAAAATTATCTGATTCTTGGAAGAACTGTAATGTCTTTTTATTGTGTTGTGGTTCATGGGTATAGAAAAATGGAAAATATACGTCTAATAAATACAATATTTGAGGAAAAAAATAAATATATAAAGGAAGAATTAATTAAATATTTCGATGTCATCATTTATTGCATTCTGCCAAAATATGATGCATGGTGCTGACCGTTCGCCATAGTCGTCACAATATTTCCCTGTTCGTTAATAACATAACCCGTGTTGGCTAATTGATATGAAAATGTATTGGTTGTATTATGGGTGTTTGTATTTTGCTGAACAATATTTCCATTCGGTATTAATTGAGATACGGGTGTAACTAAAAACGTCTGTTGATGATGTTGATTCCCTGTATTATCATTTGGTGGAGCCACTACCAGGGGTATAACCTGTTGCACTTCATTGTTGATGACACATTTTTGTACTTGTTGAACGGTTTGTTCCCGAGATCGGTCAACAGTCTGCAACTGCTGTTGGACTTGGGCTGGAGGTTGCGTTTGCTGACTGTGATGCTGATTGTTAACCTTGGGCTCCATTTTGCAAAATTTTACGTGTGGAAACTGTTCCTTCATAAAATGGCGAAACGTCGAGTAACCCATAAGCTTGATACCCGGCCCTTGTCCGTACTCTTTATAAGCGTCATGTAAATTTTTTCGTGTAACATCCCATGGCAACTGTATGGGTTGTTTGGTGTTTAGTGTATCCTTTTCCCCGGTATGCTGTTCTAAATACTGTTTCAAAAATTCCCTCCCGTGGCAATATGTGTCTAAAGAAAACGTATTGTGAGGTCGTTTGCCATAGTTTCCATGGACCCTGGGTGCCACGCCGTGGGTCATCACATGTTTACGGATCCTTTTGAGTTGGTAATGGGTGCAGTTTTCTAAATAAAGAAACGCATCCAAACACACCCTTCTACCTTGGTAGACATATTGGGCCCTTAATCGTCTTCGTTCCCTATGTCTGACGGTGGTATCTGGATTTGCTAGGCATGCCATCGTGACACCCATTAAATACATGTCGTGTTCTCCTTTTGTTAGTTCCGCAATGTTATGCCGGTGTTTAAAGACTGTTTCAGGATTCAGACCTCTGAAGCAACTTTCATCTTGACACTCGCAACCCCTTTTGAAACGCTCTTTAACTTGCGCCGCACTTTCTTCTAATTTCGTGGGTTCGTTTAACGAAGCCCCATCATTTTTCTTCTTTTTTTTCGTTGCTGCCTTTTTCTTAACCCCTGCAGATTTCTGTTGGCCTTTAACGTTGACGTTCAATTTCTTCGAAATTTCTGATTCTGGTTCCTCAATTTGCGTTTGGGTGGTATAAATTCCATTGATGTTGCTATCCATGGGATCGACTATGGCGGGCCCTTCCCATATCACCTTTAAACAAAATAAACGTTATAGCGTTTTGCAAGGGAAAAATCCGCATGTTCCACCTACTACTTGCTGATCGTCCATTGCCTGAGCGAAATGGTTCGCTCCATCTATGGCGGAAAAAAGTGAATGGGCAATCGACACCGGAGTATACTGAATAGTTGATTCTCCTTCCGCTTCATTGGTGGCCGAATTTGAGTGGAAAGAATGCGACGGGGATTCAGTATCTTTGCTGTCAATTATCACTTCTTGCTTCTCGATTCTTTCAACCGACAACAGGGTATGTAGGACCTCACTCGCTTCCTTTTCCGCAGAATCATTTGCCATTCTACGACTAAATACAATAGATTAGTGCGGAAATATTGTTTGTTAATATGTAGAATTAGAAATCCGTAAAATATTTAATTAAAAATTTTAATCGTTGTTTACTTATTATTCGCGTAAGTAAAAAACAAAATTGAGTAGGACGAATGTCTTTCAACCGTCTAAGTGTCCGTATATCTATTTCTCAATGTCTAATTTTGATTATTTTTCCTGCTTAGTCCTTGGTTTGCAGAATAATTTATTAATTTTTTATTTCCGCAAAATCCCAACAAAAAAGTTATCCTTTATTATAATTCCGTACCACTTCTTATACAGGAAGACATTTTATAATATATACGGGGTTGCACTATATTTTTTTCTTTTTTAAAAGTCATATTCGTGTATATGTTTTATTATGGCTTCGAATTTTCATTAAGGTAGTTGCCGAAAAAATGACTTTTTACTCCAAATAAACATTTTATCGAATTGATAAAACATTTTTCGTAACTGGGGCAATTAATTAATTAATTAAAAATTTTAATCGATTATTTTTTATTCAAGTAATGAAAAAACAAAATTGCGTCGCCAGTGTCCAAGTTTCCGGCTCACGATCATCTAATTTTCCACGTCTACTTTTGATTCTTTTGCCTTGTTTCGTAGAATAATAGAGTTTTTTATTTTCGTAAAATCCCAATCAACAAGTTGTCGTTAATTATAATTCTGTACTTCATTTTTTATACAGGAAGCCATTTTATAAGATTTACGGCGTTGCACTACAATTTTTTCCATTTTAAAACTGGTGTATGCTTTACTTGTTTTATTTATTGTTATTAAAAATTCTTTAAATTTTCATCAACGCGGTCTCCTAAGAAATATTTTTTTTTATTACAAAAAATAATTTCGGTTAATAAAATTGTTGGTGGATTTTACTGATGCAATTAATTAATCAATAATTTTAATCGTTGTTCAGCTACTATTGACCGTAAGGAAAAAATTAAATTGAGCAAATGGAAAATCTGTGTCCTGTTTAATTATGTGTCTTGAATTTACAATACACAAATTATCCTTTGTTGTCATTCTTTACTTCACTTTTTATTCAGGAAAGCATTTTATAATATTTACGTTTCTGCACTACATTTTTTTTGGTATTTTAAAAATAGATTTATGTGTATGTTTCATCACTGGGTTTAGAAGTGAAGAGAAAAAATTCCTCCAGTATTCATCCTAAAAAATGACTGGATTTAAATAAATTTTAAATTTTTCTTAATAAATTTTTTGGTCAATTTTACTGGTGCGGTTAACTTAATTAATTAAAATTTTTAATTGTAGTTCGGTCTCTGTTCACGCGACGAAAAGGCGAAATTGTGTAAGTTGAAGGTCTTTATTTTCATTTCATTTCGGATTCTTTTCTGATTTAAGAGTAGATTTATATTTTATTGGTTTAGAAGTGAAGAGGAAAAACGGCTTTGAATATTCATCAATACATGAAATTTAAATTGTCCTTAATAAAATTTTTAATAAATTTTATACTGGTGGAATTAATTAATTAAATAAAGCGACACTTGGTTAATTTAAAGGAAACTGCTGGTTTGTGGCCACGTTAAAAGTGTTTTAAATAAAATATTTTACGGATTTGTATTTAATTAAAGGTAAATTTTAGGCGCTTCCATGAAAATCAAATATAATCCAATAAAATTGGAAAAATCGGCCTATACTAATGGATTTAGACGTTGTTTATAAACAAAATCAGTGTGTGAATGAAAAGCGAGCATGTTTTAGGCGAAAAACGTCTTTACTGTATTACAGAAAAGCTCAAAATCGCTCGTAGGCACACAAAACTCGGCCGTATTGATATCCATTACAAGCGTACTTGTCATACCTTTTAAGCGTGTTTTCCTCTTCCAAAGGTTTTAATTCACTGCACAAACAACCATCACACCATAGAATTATTCTTATTTATCATTTATCTCTTCGAATTTCCGCTAGCAAATGGTAATTTCCTTAATTTTTCGCCATTAAAATATCGAGCTATTGGGATGCTTAGTACGCCATATTATCGTTGCAGCGATGAACCTCGTTTCTGATGCGAACGCTTTTCCGGTACATGCGCACTAGATTCTCTTTGTGCGCGATACTGACTGCCGCCAAACTATTCGAATTTCGAATGAACACCGCACTAGAGGGGACACCAAACATTTAAAGTGATTCCACCAACTCAGTAATATCTAATTACGAATCGAAACTAGCCAAAACTCTCATATCAGCGTCACATATGATATTTATTGCCAATAAACTTAGAAATATACATAAAATAAATTATTTCGTACTTTCATTTATCAGTACGAATCGGCGAGTTTCAATTACTGAGTTAATGCACTAAAATTTCCCTTTTAAAATTGCTTTTCTCCAATCCCAATTGGAAATAATTTATATAATAATAGGATATTAGGTATTTCCCTAAAATTGTGATGGGAGGAGTGGATATTCATGTGGGCAGGGTTAAAGCTGTTTTCTGTGTTAGTTGTAAGTTTTGAGGCAATGAATCATGCGTCTCGTCCGATTTAGATGTAACATCATTGGTCGAATAATTAAACCACTAAACTCGTGCCGCCAAAACATGGAATTAAAATTTAATTTTTAAAGCAATATATTATTTAAAGTCGTCCAAAACTCACCTCGACACGAAACGCACCACATGTTTCACGTTTTGCGTTAAACTGAAATGTGCCGCTATTGTTTAACTATGGCGTATCGATTATATTTTTATACGATTATTATTCCTAAATAAAACACAAAGAGCAAACAGGGATGCACTAGCTGAATACGAAATGACTGATTAAACATTTTTTTATGGTTGGCCGACGTTCAATTGGGGGTGGCCAAAACTAAACAATGGCCGGTATTGATTATGATCAATATCGCTATTGTTAGTACCGATTTGAAAGTTTGTCGCCGCATTTTGCGATTTTCAAGTAATTTTGCTTAATAAGTTGTAAAATGTTTACATGTAACAGGTAAACTCATTGTTTTATTTTATTACTTTGAAGTGTAATTAATTAATGTTTACTGAAAAAATTTTGTTTTCTGAAATTGCGTTTAATCATCGCAGTTATCGGAAGTTTTCACTTTTTTTATTTCAATTTTATATTTTTCAATTAATATCAAAACGCATGGTGACATGTTTGAACACATATTGATGTTTTTTTTTTGAATTACTAATTATATTCATAAGTTAAACAAATTATTTAGCACTGGATGGCACTTATCGTAGGTTTTTGCTTTCTATTTTTAGCTGCCTGTTTCGAAATAAACAAAAACTTGCCGCATTTTCCAAATTTTACTTGGCAAAAAAGAAATAATTTTTTTTCATATAGGATATCTGCGATAAGGAGACGGTTTGTCCCCTTATCTGGGAGAAGCAGTATCTACAACTTTCGTATCGCATTTGGGTAAATAAATTTACCGTTGTTTTAAATGTTTAAATATTTATGGATTTTTCAAGCCTGTATTGTCTGTTGCCTAACACGGTGTGTCTCGTGCCACGTTTTGCTGAATAATTACTTTAATTCGATAAAAATAGAAACACAAGCGTTTCCTACTTTTGGATATTCGTGCATTTCCGATTCACGACAAAATTTAAACATGTTTGGTTTAGTTAGTTGTTCCCGGTAACTGAATTTAAAGCTACCGTTTAAAATTAAACGCGCGTACTTGTTCAAGGTTTTTTTTTTAATGAAAACTACCGATCTGTTCACGTGAGTTCTGATAGCCTATTCAACGATTTCTGCACATGTTAATTTACGCCGGTACTTAGGGGAATTTGATTATGCATTATTCTCAAACCTGTTATTTTTGCAAACGGTGCGATTTCTAGCTGCCACAGTCGGCGACTTCTAGCTTTTTCCTAACGATTAACTTTACCTACTTACTTTTAAATACAAATCTATTAACGTGCCTCTTCATAGTTTGACCAGTCACACTTTAGGTACTCTCTATCACTGATGGGAACGAACATTTTACAAGCGAACATGGTTCAGGTATAATAACAAAAATAACCTTGCCTCGGTCTAGCAGTTGAGCTACTACGGTTGTTTATGGGTATTGGAGGTTCGAACAATTTTTATCCACGTTACATAAAGCGCTTTATCTACTCGATTCCTTCCTAGTGACCGCAAACCTGGATTAAGTATAACGACTTCGAAGCGACGTCGTTGTGGTTTAACAACGATTGCTTTTTATACATAATAGGTTCAAGTGTAAATCGTAGATAAATTCGTAATGCTTACCAAAGTCTTCGGATTTTTCAAGACGAACTTCTTTTTCATTCGGTGAAAGTATACGTTAGGCCGCTAATAATTGCCGTTCATTATTATTTACGGTAAAAATAACTCCTTAATAATGAGAATACGATTTATTAAACGTTATTCCATTTCGTGTGATTTTACCGCACAGCACAAAGGAACAATTAAAATAAAACGCTTGAGACCAAATAACGTCTACCGAGCGCAAAATGATTGCGACGTTTGGGAAACACACAATGCTAACACGTTTATCTAAACCTAAACCGAGATCGATAAAAAGATATCGAGGAAAATATTCGCTATCGTAGGTAAATAAATTGGTGCAGAAATGAAAATAAATGGCACTACCTTAACTTACTTAAACTGTACGAGAGATCAAGGAAGTAGTGATATAGCGCAGGGTGGAAGGTCAGTCATTTTGGACGATATCGTTGCATTTTCATCCAGCAATCATGTCTTTTCAATAACAAAAATTGAATGGCATTTTATTTGGAGATATGTGTCTCTCATGTACATAAGAAAGAAATATATAAATATCAAAATTTATTGAATAAATAATTTTAAATGCCAGAAAAATATCGTAGGTAAATAATTTATTGGAGAAATGAAAATAAATGGCACTATCTTAACTTGCTTAGCAAACTTAGCTTTTCAATAACAAAATTTGAGTAGTATTTAATTTGTAGATATGTATGTGTCTCTAATGCGGGTAAGAAAGAAATATATAAATATCCAAATTGATTGAGTAAATATTTTTAAATGGCAGAAAAATATGGTAGGTGAATAAATTGTTGCAGAAATGAAAATAAATGGCACTCTCTTTAAGTTCCTTAGCAACCATGTCTTTTCAATAACAAAAATGGAATAGTATTTTATTTGGAGATATGTGTCTCTAAACTTCCTTAGCAACCATGTCTTTTCAATAACAAAAATTGAATAGTATTTTATTTGGAGATATGTGTCTCTAAACTTCCTTAGCAACCATGTCTTTTCGACAACAAAAATTTAATGGTATTTTATTTGGAGATATGTGTCTCCAATGTAAATAAGAAAGAAATATATAAATATCAAAATTAATATCAAAATTGATTGAATAAATAATTTTAAATGCCAGAAAAATATCGTAGGTAAATAATTTATTGGAGAAATGAAAATAAATGGCACTATCTTAACTTGCTTAGCAAGCTTAGCTTTTCAATAACAAAATTTGAATAGTATTTAATTTGGAGATATGTGTCTCTAATGCGGGTAAGAAAAAAATATATAAATATCCAAATTGATTGAGTAAATATTTTTAAATGGCAGAAAAATATGGTAGGTGAATAAATTGTTGCACAAATGAAAATAAATGGCACTCTCTTTAAGTTCCTTAGCAACCATGTCTTTTCAATAACAAAAATGGAATAGTATTTTATTTGGAGATATGTGTCTCTAAACTTCCTTAGCAACCATGTCTTTTCGACAACAAAAATTGAATGGCATTTTATTTGGAGATATGTGTCTCTAATGTAGATAAGAAAGAAATATATAAATATCAAAACTAATTCAGTAAATAGTTTAAAATGGCAAAAAAATATTGTAGGTAAATAAATTGTTGGAGAAATGAAAATAAATGGCACTATCTTAACTTACTAAAACTGTAAGAAAGATCAAGGAAGCAGTGATATAGCCAGGGTCGAAGGTCAGTCATCTTAGACAGTATTGTTGCATTTTTATCCAGCAACCATCTCGTTTTAGTAACAAAAATTGGATGGCATTTTATTTGGAGATATGTGTCTCTAATGTGGATAAGAAAAAAATATATAAATATCAAAATTGATTGAGTAAATATTTTTAAATGGCAGAAAAATATCGTAGGTTAATAAATTGTTGCAGAAATGAAAATAAAATGCACTTTCTTAACCTGCTTAGCAACCATGTCTTTTCAATAACAAAAATTGACTGGTATTTTATTTGGAGATATGTTTCTCTAATGAGGATAAGAAAGAAATATATAAATATTAAAATTGATTGAGTAAATATTTTTAAATGCCAGAAAAATATCGTAGGAAAATAATTTGTTGGAGAAATGAAAATAAATCACACTTATCTTAACGTGCTTACCAACCATGTCTTTTCAATAACAAAAATTGAATGGTGATTTATTTGGAGATATGTGCCTCTAATGCGGATAAAAAGGAAATATATAAATATCAAAATTGATTGAGTAAATATTTTCAAATGGCAGAAGAATATGGTAGGTGAATAAATTGTTGCAGAAATGAAAATAAATGGCACTAACTTAACCATGTCTTTTCAAGAACAAAAAGTCAATGGTATTTTATTTGGAGATATGTGTCTTTAAACTTCCTTAGCAACCATGTCTTTTCAATAACAAAAATTGAATGGCATTCTATTTAGAGATATGTGTCTCTAATACGTATAAGAAAGAAATATATAAATATTAAAATTGATTGAGCAAACATTTTTAAATGGCAGAAAAATGTCTTAGGTAAATAAATTGTTGCAGAAATGTAAATAAATGGTACTATCTTACCCATGTTTTTTCAAGAACAAAAAGTAAATAGTATTTTAATTGGAGATATGTGTCTCTTAGCAACCATATCTTTCCAATAACAAAAATTGAATGCCATTTTATTTAGAGATAACTTACTCGGACTGAACGAGAGATCAGGATAATATTCGTATATCCAGGGTTGAAGGTCAGTGTTCCTAGAATTTGAATGTACTCTTTGGTATCATTTTTATCCAGCACTCCATAAGTTCAATAACAAAAATTGCATGGTATTTTATTTGGAGATTTGTGTCTCTAATGTGGATAAGAAAGAAATATGTAAATATATAAATATCAAAACTGATTGAGTAAATACTTTAAAATGGTAAAGGACTTGCTAGGTACACAAATTGTTGGATAAATTAAAACAAATGGCACTATCTCTTAACTTATCGAACTGAACAAGACGATAGACGGTATGGTTTTAAATAGCTCGAAGATATGTAATTGAAATGTACGCTTTGGTTTAATTTTCATACAGCAGCAAGAACCTTTCAATAACAACAATGGAATAATATTTTATTTGGAGATATGGGTCTCTATTGGGGATGAGAAAAAAAATAAAAATATTATTTTTATTTTTTATTACAAACACTTCTTCTATTTGCAGACAGTTGTGTTAATTTGGATTTTCAATTTTCTTTACTCGATCGTAACTTTCGGTTTCGATATCTTGAAAGGGTGGTTATACACACGGCTCTGTAGCAGTTGAAGGTATGAAACTACAACAATGGAGTGAGTTTCTTTTGTTTTCGATTTCCCGTTAGCACTTCTTGCCTACAATAGACTGTATAATACGAAGTATGCCTCTATTGTGTTGTTTTGAATATGCTGTCAGGCATTATTTCCCGAGCTTAGAATCCGAAAATAGGGTTTTACAGAAATATACTCTATACAAAATCTTCGCAAATAATAATTGTAGATTTAAGGTTTGTCTTATTTTGTTCCAGCATCCAGCAGTTTTAAATACAATCAAATCAAATCACGTTAATGTAATTAAACTTGTATATGCTCGATTTCTTACAAAGTCGCAACGTTATTATTGAATACAAAATGTTGTTAAATGTGTTGACCTAAATGTATCTTCTCCGTTAAATAGTTTTACTGCTGGCGGAAATACAGCGCAGTATGTGATTTATTTTAACGATTTTCTGCTCGTCGATGTACGATGTTATGAATGAAACGTGCGGTAATGTTGATATAGTTATTCAAGTTATTTATACCGGGTGAAACATATTAAAAACAGCGAATAGTGAGTAGGAAAAAATATAAACATTATGAATAAGTACATAAAATCTTATTAGAAGTGAAATGATGTATATTGATTCTGTTTTCTCCACTTTCTTTCTACTGCACATAGGTGCAGTAGCTCTATAATTGATGTCACAAAGAGATTTGAAAAGGCTGTCAGAATTATTGCACAAAAATATAATTTGCACTTTTTGTCGTGTATTGAATCTGGAATATTTGCATAGCATTTAGCAATAGAAGTGAAATGCTCTTTATTGATATCAAAATATGTAATTAATAATTCCACAGTATAGCTGATTTGTTTTTCGTTACTCTTGTTCTACTCATCCTGTAATTGAGATCAAATTACATAGAGAGTTGAAAAGTGTCTAAAATAATGTAGTTTTATAGCGCTGTCAGAAATATTCGACAAAAATATAATGTGCACTTTTTGTTGTGCATTTGCAAAATGCAAAATTAGACTTTTCATATTGGGGCGTAGTATGTAGTATTTCATCAATATAAGCATTGATGAGAACTCTGAAATTCTTTAAAGATTCAACATTTATGGCTATTTGCTACCAAAACATTATATAACAGCTCCATAAAAATAGCTATCAGAAATATTACGATTTTGAATAGTTACGTGTTTATTCCGGATAAATAACTCTTATTAAAGGAATCGTAAACTTTGACGTTTCTACTCATTCTGTTTTCACCTGCTTTGAGTTGCTGTTTAGTAAAAAAAATATGCTTTTTTGTATTAAGGTGTATAATATAACATCGAGTGGATTTCTGTGTCA